CCAATAATAGTGATACTTAATTTCTTTGGAAGTTTCCATCAATTTTATACCATTTTTTAATTCTGCTAGCTTCTGTTCGATCACATGACTGCAAAAAATTAGTATTAAAATTTTATAATAAAAAAGTGGAAATACTTCACAGATTACAGAATACAAACATAATCTTTAAATTATGTAATCTGAGAAGTAATAAACTAAGAAGCTTAATTCAAGCAAAAAAAAAATGCTTAAAATATTGTTAAGCCAACAACTGTTTTTATTGTTAAGCATTAAATGACAGCTAAAAAATTCCCACAGATTTAATAGTTTTTAGAATAAAATAAAATAATCTTTAGCTATTTTATTCTTGAAAAATTTGCAGTAAATAACTTAAATACTTTTATAAGTTTTTCACAAAATTAAATTTTGTAATAAATGTGAATAATATTCGTCCAACTTTTGCAAAAATGTGTATTTATCTAGTTTATAGCTCATGTCGGTTTTATAAATTATGAAAATGCTGAAGAAATTTGAATTATTAATTTGAAGTTTTAATTAAAAATGGCATAGCAAAATTGAAAATTAAGCAAGTCACTAATTATGAAGTCTTAGAATTATTAACAGCTGATTAAGAAAACGAATACGATTGATTGCATCTAAAATTTAAAGAAAATAAACAAGTATTTCATTTTTTATGTTTTGCATAAATTTGATTCGAAGCACATGAAAAACATCAAAACTCTAAGTTTCTAAAACAATAAATTAAATTAGTTTTTCAAATTTGAAATTAAAAACATAAAACATAAATTAATACGTTTTATTGTTAGTTCGAATTTGAGTAATTATTAATCTTATATTCGATGGAAAGGACTCAAATTTCTGCAAAAGTGAACACTGCAAAAAAAAAGTCTAAAGTTCAATAAGAGAAAGTAAGAATCACAATTTAAGATCATTTTTAGTGATATGCTAATTTATTTGCAGTAATCTGCTTGAAAAAAAATAAACTAAGTGGTGACAAACAGGCAGTTTAATCACTTTGATTATTATTGTTATTTTCCTATATTTTTTAATTTTTTATATGTTCAAAAAAGTTAACACCGATGGATAATAAAATATTAAAATATATCTCAAGAAATATTTTAAACAAATTGATATTATTGCTAAAAGTTTAATTCCTTACTTCTAAATACTAATTTTAGTAAGTATTAACAACTAACAAAAACTGAAGCAGACAAATGAAAGAAGTAGCGTTTGTCTTCAGTTTTCAGAGTTCAAGAATGAATTATTCTAAGAGTGGTTTTAATTTCATACTGGATAACTTTTTTAAAATTTTTATGAAATTTAAATTTTGAGTAAAATATAATCAAAAGCAATAATTTTATCAGAAAAATTAGCAAATTATTTTCAAATTCAAATCAAATCTATGATTTTCCCTCTAAATTTAACTGATTTTAAATCAATGCATTCTTGGAATTCAGTATTTTAGACTTGCATGTAAAATGAATATCAACACCATAATATCTCAATCAAGAAACTGGAATACTTTTTAGATTCACTCTACATAAATTCAAATAGTTAAATTTTTCAATTCAAATGTTGGTTACAACATTTTTTCAGTCTGAATTTTGTTCATTTCCTTAAAATAATTTCAATTTTTTTTGAATTATTTCATTTCTTTTTTTTTTAAATTATTTTTCAACATGTGAATAAGAGGATTTTTTAAAAATTTTATAATACTTGAAATTAAAATTTTGAGTATTTTTTTTTGAAATGAGCAAAAATAATAAAGAAAATTCAAATTTCAGTATTCAGTCGCAATAACTGAAAATTCATTTATGCTTACCTAAAACAGTCTTTAATTATTTGTTAACTCTTATTTACATACTAAGGTATTATTTTTTAAAATATACTTCAATGGACTTTCTTTTACGCCTTTGAAAAATTTTTCCACCCTTAAACAACTATATTCATAATTACTTCCGTTTTATACTTTTAATTCTCGCAATTATTTTCAGAGTAATATCGTTGCAGTGAACAAACTAAACTAAACTTACGTGTCATTTAAAATCTTACATTGAAACTCACTGATATATATAATCCAAAATAGAATCAAGAAATGAAATAATTCTGAGTGGAAAATTAAATTCCAAAGTCCCATTTCAAACATTACCATACTTAGAATGTGTCTTATTTTTGAAAAGTTATCCAACTATCAAAATATTATTTATTTAAAAACAAGCACTTTCAGAAATTATTGCTCTTCAAAATACGTCAAACATAAAATATAAATTATGATTATGAATATTTATAAATATTCTAATGCAGTAATGATTCTGGTGCTGGGTAGATATATATAAATATGAAAATTTGAAAAATGGAACTAGTATTTCTATTTCTAATACAGTAATGTAGACATACATCAAATTTTCCTTTCGATGTTCTTAATTTTTATTTTAAGTATAATAATAAACACTTTCTGCTTGAATTATCTAAAATATTCAGAAATCAGATAGTATTAATAATTGTTTTAATAGCAAAACTGAAAACAAACGATATCAGTAGAAAGACTTTTTAATTACCCAAAGAATTAATTAATAACAAATTGTAGTTGTTGAAGTAATTTAAATATTCAAAAAACACATTTTTTTAATTTAAAACTTAATCTACATCTTAGTTATCTTAGCTCAATATTTATTCGAAGAATTAAATATATAACAAATAGTAGTTGTTGAAGTTATTGAAGTATTCAAAAAACATATTTTTTAAATTTAAAACTTAATCTTGTATCTTAGTTATCTTAATCTTCGTTTTGTAACTAACTACTCATAGCAAATTAATACTTCAACTCTGTGATGTTGATTTGTTGAATGCAAAAAATGGAAATGAAATTAATAAAATATTGAAAATAAAAATGATAGAAAAGAAATTAATATGCATGAGAATAGCAGTAAAACGAGAATTGGTATTTTTCAAGAATATTTTAAATATTTTTAAGTAGCAAACATGGGAAAAGAATAAAATCTTTTGGAGTCAAATTGCATAAAAATTTATAAATTGCATAAAAATTTATGAAACTTGAATAGATTTACTTATTATGCATTTATAAATATAATGGAAGATCTATTAAGAGCGATAATGAGAAGTAATATTTGGTTATCTGTGGTATGAGATTTAAACTTGATTTATTACGGAATCAGTGTTACCGTCGATAATTACTACTGATGAAACACGTCAGCTCAGTAATTTTGCGCGTGAAATGGGTGTAATTTTTTTTATATTTTAATTTTACAGAAAACGAAATTGGAATTTTCTCTCTGCTGTGATAGCTATTCTTTAAATTATTAAAAATAACTGCATGCATATCAATTAAGATGCAATTTATTGAAGTAAATAACTACCAAATTATGCTGCCATGAAATCATTTCGTGTAATTTTATTCAGTAATGTCTTAAATCCTTTTTCACTGCTAAAAGCAATAACTTAATTGCAGACACAAATTACATCGCACTCCCAGCGCTATGAGAATGTATGTAATCCACTACAAATTCCACTACATTCTTATAAGTTAGCAGTAGTGATTAAATTCACCCACTGATTATCAAAATTTTTCCACAACATGCTGTAAAAATAAAACTAAGAAGCTTTATTTACGAAAATGAAAAAATAATACAAGAATTAGTACAAGCAAAATAATACAAGAATTGAATTCAAAAAATAATACAAGAATTGAATTCCACATCCAGCAATAAAACAGACACAAAATCTTGTCCATGGATATATGTAAAATGACATGAAGAAATGATGATAATTTTTGAAAAAACGCTAAAAAATATTGACCATATCAAAGTATTAGATCAAATTTCTGATAATACTACTAAATATTTGAACTGATAATCAGTGTTCATGATCAATTTACGCATTGATCAAATTGGTTACTTGTTTGAAAGAAAATAAAACAAGCGACAATTAAACGCGAGACTAGAAATTCTGATTTCAGAAACTAAACATCAATGAGATTTCGCAGTATATTCATAAATTAGCAAAAACTCCACTACATTCGAACAGAGCGCTGTCTATTTCACTCATTTATCTTGCTAGCATAAAAAAGATATCAAGAAAGAAATCGCTTATGAGTTTCCAACAATTGGTACATATTCGACTACCATAATATTATCTATTCGCTTACGAAGAAACTTTAATTTAAAGAATGGTCGTTCGCACGAAACAGCGTATTGCAATTGCAAAATTTCTTCATTGCTCATGCTTATATCAGAAATTTCGTTTATCTCGTCAAAATTTGATAGCAAACACGGAATTCCCATGGCTGGATGAGTCTTAATAATATCCGTCTGTAATGTTATACTTTAATTAACAACTGACTTATTATGAAAAGCTGTGGATACTTCAAAATTTTACAATGCGTCAAAAATATACTGTTCAAAAATATCATCATCATCTTGTCTTATAAACTTATATGAAAAAAAGATACCGCACATTTGTAATATACAACATCAGAATCAAAAGCTGAAAATAGATCACAACTGAATAGATTTTGCGGTTTTTACTCTATGAATATATATATAGTTATTTAAACTATTTTTGATACGATGTTATCTGAATTATAGAATTAATAGCTATTCAATTAGAGGACAACTATGTCAGAAAAGATAAATCTTTGAAAACAAATGTACATGAATTTATTATATCACTTAAAAACAAAAACTGTACCATATAGATACTAACCAAGTTCATTATAGAACGAAGATTCTTGTAGGAAACTCTTTCGTAGTTACCATAATCAATATAATGAACTTCCACCTCTTCATGATATATTTTTGTGATAACCGCGCGAAACATTGATTCATATGCTTTGCAATATGAAACACATAAAGTGCCAAGTTCCTGAAACAATAAAAATTGTTGTGGTAAACAATTCAAATTAATCCTTTCAATTCCACCTGACATCTTTTTTAAGAATTAACTTCCAATTACCAAATCTAATCTATTTCTTGTCACCAAAGTTATCACCTTCTTAATATAACTGTACTTTTTGTGCTACAAGAACAAGAGACACAAAATTCATTTCTCATGACCATCAACAATAACAGTGATGAACAGAACTGAAACGCAACATACAATATTTTCTTTTGACATCATTTCATGAGCAGAAGGGCAATCCAAATCTCGATCAATTATGTCCAATAACTCATCGCTCTGAATCTGCACGAAAAACAATGGCCAATTTAGATTCCCAATATCGTCATCGCTTCTTTTCACAAAATGCACAGATTCTTCTTTTATTGTGATCGGTGGTACATATGACTTTAAAAAGAATAAAAGCAGATTTATAGATATATTATGTGATTCTTAATTTAATATAGCAGAATACAGGAAAATAGCTGAAGCTTCAATTCGTGTGCACTAAACAAATCAGTCTAAACTTTAGTATTGAAATATTAAAGAAAATATAATAGTCAACAACTGCTATCTTGTAGTCACTTTTTTGCCCTGTTTTTACAAATCCAATTCAAGCTAAGTGAGAAGCTCTTAATAAAAAGATGGATCGATAAGTGACTTTCAAACTTTGATTTTAATCATCAGTAGAAGGTGTACTTCACTCACAGAAGAGATTATACTGTCGATTCATATACTCTTGTTCCAAGCAAAATTATTCAAAAGCAGACAGAATACAGTTGCAAGCAATTTTTTCCAAAGAGCGCTTGAATACTTAGCTAAATAACCAGTCAAAATATGGAACAAGTAAACTAAATCTTTAATTATTAATATTACCTGATACTTTAGATTTCTAAATAAACAATTATTACGAGGAAGGACTGCTGGCAAACTTTCTGCATTATGACTCCTGTCAATAATTTGGCTAACATTTTGTCTCTGAAAGTTATCTGCCCTTGAATAATGACACATATTAAATTTCTCTGTATCTCAACTTCCACAAGCTTTCATAAAAATAACTATTGTTAACAAAAAATTTAAATTCTGAGCCTAAAGCTTTTTTCAGTTAATTCCCAACTACAAATATAAATAGTTAAAAACTGCTATCTTCTAATCACAATATTAAAACACAAAAAAAGATTCGCTACTTTCAGAATGAAGATCCTTTTCTTGCTAGTCAAATTTTATTTTCGGAGCAAAATTTTAATGATAAAAATTATAAATTATTTAAAACTCATGAATTTTCTTTACCGGTATATCAAAATTAGGATGATCAAAGCCAGCACAATTTGTAGCAGTAGAAAATAATTCATTTCGTGATTTGTAGTCATTCTTTCTATCATACGAACAGTTCGCATATGATGCTTTCTAAATAGAGTTTGTATTTTAGTAATGACTGTAAAGAATATAAACCAAAGTAAGATTAAAATTTGTCGATATTATGCATACTGGAGATTGCAAAAATTAATTATCGCCTGAAAATAATAAAAAATGCCAAATCATATCCGGCATATTTCATTCATAAACATGTTTCAAAATTCACTATTTTGAGTCAATTCGTATAGCGCTGTGTGAATAAAAAATATAAATGCAAGAAGATAACATTCGTGCATTTTTATTTGTAATTTAGAAAGCATTTTACGAATTGACATGAAATAGCTAATTTTACTGTAAAAGAAGAGTGACTTTTTGTGGTTCACGTTGACAAAATTTTGCAGATGAAGAACTATCATAAACGGTGATAGGATTGTTGCGCCTTTTTGCTTTTCTTCCTGCAAGCTGCCAAGCATATACTAAAAAAATTAAATGAGACAATTTATAATTTTATAGTTTGCAATTCAACCAAAAATAACAAAATAGTCCGATAGACAAGTTAACCATTTTCTTGTTCGTAATAACGTTTTTTTTGTTTGCCTTGTTTTACATTTTTTGACAAACGTGAGTCAACCATAGTGCAACGGTTATTCATGAAGTTTTTTTGAGATTTTTCATATTTTTTTTTCTGGAGCAACTGTTGCGCATTATATTCTAAAAAGAAAAGTTGATGAACAACGATTTTTTTTAAACGTTATCAAAAAGGAAGGACAAAAAAGATTCATTTCTTTTGGAATAAAGAGTCTTTTCTTTCCAGTCATATTGATAAAAACATATGAATCAGAAAAAAGATCTCAAACATTTTCTCTAAAAAAATTTGAGAATGAATTTCAAAAGCAGTCCAGCACTTTTAATATTTCCATACGTGAACAGAATGAATAATTCAAAAATTATGAAAATTTTACAACTAAGTGATAAAAGATGACTTGTGATTTACACAAGTCGTATCTCTCATGCGCTTATAAATTCGGTTTGATCTGAAAGTGAAAATTTAAAAATTAAAATGATGTCTCAAAATATTGTCAACTGGTTGACATAAAATAATCATAATTCAAAAACTGATGTCAAAGCACCTGAATATCCGAGATCATTGTTTCGATTTCCGTTAATCAACACTCGCCTTCTGTTATTATGGGATCGAACGTGTTTTAATCCAGCATTTGGATGAAATAGTTATAAAGTATTATCAAAGATTCACAGAAACAGGAATTCTTACAATCAATGCTAAAAAATAGAAGTGCTAAATAAGAATTAAAGTACGTACCAAAACTGCAGTTGTTGATAGTGTTTGCTTTTCGATACTCTTACACATTACTTCAGAGCTTTGACAAAGATTATTACTGGCAGATACAAACCAATTCAATAAATCTTCTGAACGAACATCTGGGGACTCAAATTCATTCGAATACCTAATAAATTCATTAATTATATTTCATATTTCCGATCCTGCATCCATCGTAATTATTCCTTGCATTTGTTTATCCTTCAAAAGCTTGAAAAGGGATCAAAAAAAAAATAGGATCTCATCCTAATCAAATCACTTTTCTTATTCGTCTGCAAATACCAAAACGAATCTAACATTAAATGATACCAAATTTTCAAAACATCATTTTCATCGCCATTTATTTAATGCTTAGAAGGATGGCCGTTGTTGATGAACCACAAGATCTGGTAATAAATTATTTAATGAAAACAACCTGCAGAGATTTAGTGTCATTCTCTCACTCCACGTTTGACAAGTCTCTCCTGTTGTTCTATGATTCCAGTCACCATGACTATGAACGTCTGAGTTTGAAACATTGCTAATTTTTGTAGAAAGTGATGATGAAAAATTGCAATCATCGTCCTAGAATGAAGTAAAGTAATGATTACTTTGAACTATCTGAACTGATGTTACAGTCAAATATGAAAAACTCAAAAGATAAAAATCACAGTATAAAAAAATGATTTTAGAACTAAAGGCTTAAAATATGGAAAGAACATAGTCCAATGTTTCTTGGTGGTTATCTAGCTCACGAACCATTTCTTATGCAGCACTACAAGCATAAAATAGTTAGAATATCCTTTGAAATATCTATATAACAAATGAAAAATGCTAAATCTTGAGTTTTCAGTAAAATAAACATGCAAAATAAGCATGAGGCAATATACAAAATAACATGACTCTGGAATGAAGAAATGAAACTTTTAACTGGATTTGCTGCAGAAGGTGCTGCTATCGTAAACAAATTTAATTTTTTTGAAATCACAGTTAATTGCAGCTGCATTCTTTGCACAACACCATTTTCTCCTTCATATTCGGATCTAAACATCATCTTATTTGGATTTTGAATAAAAAGAAAATCGATATTATTCAAACCAATTATTAGAAAAAATGACAGTGAAGCTTAATTCCTTCATTATAAAGTAAAGCAATAACTAGCATTATATTTCAATACATCTTGAAAGAATTTTCCGAAAATTTTCTAGCCTGAATTGAATAACTGCGCTAAAATAAGCGAGAAATTTCGAAGGACGCAAAATCTTTTCATTTGGACATTACAATATCAATGTAATGCGTTTATATAAAATATCGACTCTGAAAATTTCCTTCTCATTTTTCTGTTTAACTAAGGTAAAAAATTTTACTGAAAGTTACTTTTCTAAATCGCATAATTCGCTTTCAAGTTCCCATTGTTCACTCGTTTCTTGCAACATTACATCCGAATTGTTAAAATCTTTCTCCGTGTTATCAATCGCAAGCTTACTATTGTTTCTATTTTTTGAATCATTGTATTCTTCACCGTTTGCTTTCAAATTATAATTTTTTCTAGATCGAGATTGTGATGCTTGCTCTATATTTCTCCAATTAACTGCATTATTAGTATAGCTCATTATGCGTATCTGATACTGCTTATTTACATCCAACTGAAAATGAAATCGTATTAAAAAGATGTGACCGTTGCATTAATCAATGTAATCACCGGTCGTATTTAACGACAAACTGTTTGACTATATAATCATATTTAATAAAAATTTAAGAAGTTTTTGACATTAAAATATTATTTATCTTATTTGTTCGCATGTCTGTTTCTTGAAAATTTTCATGCAAGCATGGAGAAAAATTTATAAACTGAAATGAAATTAGACTTTTCTGAAGTCAAACTAACATTTTGTAAGTCGTTTTGTAGTGGGTTCATTCTGAATATGAAGGCTGCAGCTGGTATTTCCAGTACCGCTCGCGGCTGAAAACTAAGTTGCAATAGACAAAGAAAAACTTACTAAGATTACTCCTACGAATAAATTACCGGACCATAATAATCTATACTACAGTAATGAATATGATTTTGAAACTACAATATTTCATTTTCATAATTTTTTATATACTTCTTAGGTTCTTCAAGTACTTCTAAGAAAGTTATTTCAGCTTCTGCTGTGTCAACTACAGTTGTCTAACTCTATCATAGTTAATCATTTCCAGAACCAAAGAATTTGCATCCTTCTATCTTTTCCAAAACTTGGCTCTGATTTACTGCTCATAATCGCCAAAGCAATTAACAAGTTATACAATGCAAAAAATTATCGGCACCTGTCCACAAAGATCGAAGATTGAAGCAGGTTCACAGATAACATGTTGTCCATAATCAACAAGAAATGCATAACAGTTATCTTCTTTTAAACTGAATCCGCCTACTAGTGCCCTAAAAGCAAACATCTTCCAGCCTTGAAATTATGATTAGCAGATGACAAGCAATAAAAAACCAACAAAATTACTTAATTCAAGTTCAATTCAACTCCTGAATTCCATTAAAAAAATACTATGGCGTTAAATTAAACGATGATAACTACACATACTTAATCATAACTAGTGGTTATTAGTAGTATTTTTTGATTTATGGAATAAGGTAAAAATAGGTAAAAATGCCTAAATGTGTTTTTTACTCAAAATGGATTTGCAACGAGATTTTAAGATTCAGGAAAGTGCATGATATTGGAAGGCAGTGAATTTATGTGAGAATAAAAATAATCTAATTTCTACTGTAGTGAACTAATTTGATTTCGCGCTTTCAATCTCATATGTCGTTATTGAAAGTAATGTTGCACTATGGCAAATATGTTGATGCAAGAAATAAATAATAGCAGAAATACTACACTTTGACAATCGGAAAATTCAACTTAATTCTAGTTGAACAGAAATATAACATAACATACCTGTAAAGACGACGATTTTTATTTCTGAGAGAATAACGTGGCCTCCTAACACGTGCAATACATGCCACATCACAGCCGTCATTCACAAATAGTGAAGGTGACAAACGCTTATTTGGTTGAACCATATGCTGAAGGAATATATAAATTACATAAATTAACAATTATATAAAATAATGACTGACTATATACAGAGCAATGCGATTATTGCGCTCATGTTTACTTTTCAGAGAGAAGACAGAAAGACGCATGCAATCATATCAAACAAATTAATGATACATTCTCAAGAAAATGTACTATGAGCAATACTACAAGCAATACATTTTAAGACTTCTAATTATTCGTTTCTTATAGTCAGTAAAGGATGAACCCGACTTATAGATTAAAATAAACAACTTAAAAACTAATCAAAACATAAAACAGTATGAAACCGCAAAATTATGAATCTACAGGATCAGCTGAAAAGAAGCACACGTAATTTGAAAAAGTTGGGATTAAGAAAGAAATAAATTAGCCATTTTTTTGCTAGAAGTGATAAAGTGAAAAAATTAAGCTTCCTTAAAAATAACACTGATTTAACCTTCCCTCGAGTGATGAATAATAAAATAAAAGTAAGCTTGACAAAAGATATTCAGCAAGATAATTGACCTGATATAAAAGTTGAAGCCGTGATATGTCTCGCATTAAATAAGCGTTATCCGTTAATTTTTCTGTAACACGTGCGTTAAGCTTATGAGTTAATTTTGCTTTAAATGGTTTGAATGTAAGACTGGTGATGCGTTCTGCTGTTCCGATAACAACTGGAGAAGACACGTTTTTTCTAGCCATCTGTAACAAAGAAATGCGCAACATATGCTAAAAAAATATAAAATTTGTCTCGATGAAGTGTAGTTGTCAATTAAGAGCTATAATGAATAGTTAAAGTCTAAAATCTTTGCGCACAAGTTAATAAAGCTGCATAACAGATATTTTCACGAAAATACTTGGCATATGTTGTAGATTCCTTAAAAAAAAGGAATTGCTGATTAGTGCGAAAAAAATACATCAATAAGAAAAGAGGAATTATTGATTAACGTGAAACAAATCCTTCAGCAAAAGCGGAACAGAATTCACAAACACACCACAGTTGTACTAGCAATCGTTAGGGCAATGTGCAAAAACTTACACTGATGAGGATGAGCTCACCTTTAGAAAAAAATGCGCAAAAGACCGAATAAAAACGCAGCATAGTTCAATTTTAATGAAATTAGAGTTTCATGCAAATACTTGCTTGGAATCTATACTATCACGAAGAATCCACGTTTATTTACACACTGAGTGCTAATTTTTTTTGTAATGAGAAATATTTATACAAAAATAAGTTGATGATACCAATTAACTTTAACAGATATCATTACCATCATCTGTTTGCGTATCCCTCTACTTTTTGACTAGTAAAAATTTAGGCCTGTCATACAGTACACCATGTGAAATTTTAAATTTTGACTTAGGTCAGTATGAAAACGTAAAAATCGATTTCAATAACATCTAATTCTTAGACTTGTTTTGTAACTTTCCGGTTTGCAAATAAGATGTAATCTTTCATTATGTCTATGTATAAGTTAGCAGATTTTGCCTATTTTATCAAGTTTAAACTGTGAAAAGCTGGTATTAACGTGAAATACAAGTCTAAACCTTTAAATACAAATCTTACGTACGTTTACTTCTTTTTAAATGTTAGCATTGCATTTCTTCCTTTGTTTGTTTTCATTTAATATTTAAAGCATGCTAATTTTAACATTTGCATTTATTTAATCAATTAATTAATTTATTATTATTATTATCGCGTTTTTTACTCTGTGATTTTTCCTTCAACAAATTCTGAATAGTTCACATTTTCTACAAGATGCAACTGCTTGAAAAAGATTTAACTGAGACAATCTTTTTATGCTTATCTTAAAACGTAACATTTCGTAGTTACGTGAAAAAATAATATTTTTATATCCTTATTTTCAGTCGGCATACCCGAAATCTTCTGTGATTAGCTTCATATACTTGCTATGTTGATTATTATAGATACCAGTCTGATTCAAAGTACACGGTTCACCATTTCCACGTTTGTTCTGAGTTCAGTATGAAGTACAAAAGCAAATAACTTTGATTATTTTGATTTTTGTTTATAGCAAATAACTTTGATTATTTTGATTTTTGTTTATAGCAAATAACTTTATTTTGATTTTTGTCTATAGCAAATAACTTTTGCCAAAAACAAAGGATTTTGGCAATTGTCATCAAATGTTTTGCTACAAAACTTTACTGAATATTATGCAAAAGTTTCAGTGTACTGTGATACATATCCTTTGTTTATGGCTTAAATAATAAAGACTAATAAAGTTTATCAATCATCTGATAATTCAAATAAATTTTTATTCAAATAAAATTAAGTTGTGGGTACATGTCGATACTATAATTTGGTGCGTTAGTTGAAAACTTCGATAAAATTCGAATTCAGAATTTTGGATCTTAAGTATCAAACTAATCTTGAAAATTTCAAGCTTTTTAGGTTTGAATATTTTTGAAATTTCAGAATATAATTTATTCAGTACTGAATTCAAAAGGACGGCTAATCAACAACATTGTCTACGAAGTCAAAATCATTCTGTAGCAAATAAACTATCTTTCAAAATGTAAGTTATTGTTTATTTATTTTAAAAAACCCAACAAAATACACGAATGCAAATCATAGCTTTTCTATTTCAATTGCATTTTTAACATAGTAGTAACATTTATACACGTTCATATAAAGCCAAAATATTTGAGCTCGTGCATATTTCTGCATTTAACATCAACATGCGTAACAATTACACACAAAACAAGTGCAAGTGAATTATTAAGCTTACTTTGTCTGACAAATTGAATTTTCGAATTATTTCAAAAATTTATTCTTTGAATTTGATTGTTACTTTTTTTTTTGGAAAGTTCGTGGACAATTTTACGTCAAATGCACGCATATACATTGATGTGCGAAGGATATATGTAAATCTGTGTAGTGTGTAATAAAAATAAAGTGTGAACCGATAATAATATAAAATAAAAAAAGTAACGTTTGTAGGTAGCACTCAATAATGCAGGAACAGTAAACAGAATAAGCTAACCAAAACTTAAAAATAACACAACAAATTGACGCATGAATATCACAAGAAAGGAGAAATCATATTTTTACGTAAAATGCGTGCAATTCCTACGTTACCACCGTCTGAAAACAAAAAATCACCATCACTATGAAGCATAATCGTGCTCACGTCAACTTTACGCATTTCATTTTGATTCTTTTTTCCTTTCTGAAATATTTTGCATAAATTTTCCCGCATTTATACTACTACTATAATTGATAATCACTTAAATATTTATGATTTAACCAGAGCAGCTGCTTAGTCTACTGTAAATAACAGTGATCATAATTGTTAATTTTTGAACAAATTTCTACCTAAACTTCACTTTTTCAATTTATCGAATATTCTTAACGATAAATATGTCAATAAAATATACAAAAATTAAAAACACTACAAATATAAGTAGAATGAAGTGAATTAGTTTCAAATGAAAGTTTTATTTTTTAAACTTCAACCTAGTTTTTGAAGTTCAGCCATTATTCACTAAATAGGATAAAAAGTGGAATTGTAAGACATTTGTTCAAAAAATCTGTATCCTTGACTTAATCTATAAACTTTGTAGAAAGAACCATTTGTCTGGTTTAAATTTGGATGGATCAGTGTCGTATCGTACCTGTGTAATATACATTGCATCGATGGAATAAAATTACAGTATGGCTGATGAAAATTGGAGTGAATGATAATGCGCAATACGATAATATATACAGATTAATTTACTATTTGTCTTAATAGAAAATGAAGCTTTAAACGCGAACTTCGGCACTAATAGCGACGACCTCGGAGACCATACAGACGACCTATAAGATGTTTACTTTTCAAAACACACTTGTACATACTTTTTACTAATGCAATATTTTTCATGCTAACATGCAACAATTAATTACTACACTCAATTTGTGCAGTAAAAATGCATTGATAACTGCTTCATTGAATGTGTGCATTGGAAAATGAGCAAAGAAAAGAAAGGTGAAAAAGGTTAATCTTGAAAACCTCCGCATTGGTGCATAGACTTCCTGCGACAAGGAGAAAAAAAGTAAGTAAACTTGCATGTGATTGATTAATAATTGTAAAAATTTTACATTACAACCATTGAGTACAGAAAAAGTAGCCGAAGTTAGAACAATCAGTGCAGAACGTCAAGAAAAACAAAAACAGTTATGTACACTAAATGCACCCAAGATTTCACTAAAAACAAAAACAAAGGTTACGAACAAAAAGAGGAAGAAGTATCCACCGATATGAAATAATATTTTAAATTACGATGAAAGACAGCAGTTGGGAAAATAAAAAATGAATTTAATAGAAATTCTGGAAGACATAAGATAAAAATAATGAAGACGAGCTATGATTTCCTTTCCTGGGTTATCAGTTCGGATCAGTGCCCTCAAATACTTAATCAAAACTTTAAGATCAGTAACACAGATAAATTTATGATGTATCCCTTAGTAACGTTATAATATCAAACATAACTAGTATATTTTTTCAAACAATTTTTGCCTATTTTTTTTCGTTCATCTACTAAAAAGTATGTAAATCTCGCCAATCAGTTCATGAGAAAAATATGTGCCCTCATATTATGAACTAAGTAAAGTAATGACCGCAGCAATCAAGAGGTCAAAAGTAATTATAATAAAATTGCGCGAAAAAACCTAAAAGTTTATGGCAATAAAAACATTGCTTTAAGAAATGCCAACGGATGTTTGTCTTCATTAAACGACTTTCCAAAAATTACATCTCTACAGAATAACTTTTTTTAACTTAATACTTCATTAGATATTTATTGCTAGTGATTGCATTCGATAACTTTTTCTAAAAATTTTTGTGACAAAATTAGATTAAAATGAATTTAAATAACCAAAATTCTTTTCAAGAAGAGGAATACTTGAGAAGCACTGAAACGAACTGCAACATCATAGCTTGTAATCATTATAATAAAAAGTCTTCCAGATTTTCGAACGATTTTGTCGATATTTCATATAGACGAAAAGAACCACCACAGCAATCATCGAGAGCCATAATACGGAAAATGACTGCTTCATTGATGATCCACCATAATTACCGCCTACAATGAAATGACAATTTATGAATAAATATCATATCAACCTCTTGTGAATATACGCTTTAAATGACTATACAGAAGCCAGTGATATCGCTTAGTCCTAGTGTTTAATTGCAAAGTGAATAAATTAAATTAAACTGTAATTATTTATTTTGTCATCTTTTCATTCTGATGATTCATGTTTTAAATTTTCTTCCATTACATTATAATTTTTGCATTTTGCTAGCAGTGATCAGTATAGATAGATAAATCTGGAAATCCTGAAATTAGGTGTTGGAGGAGCAAGAACACACATCAACAAAGTATTTCAATATATTATTAAATCTTAATCTGAAACCATTATAACATTTACACGCACTACAGATGAGCAAAAAACCAGAATTGAACAAATTAAAAATTGAATGTAATACTTTTAAGAACATATAATTTAAAATCTTCACAGAAATTGCTGCCAAGTACAGATTCTTGCAGATGTTAAATTTTGGCAACAAAATAAGAAATGGAAACCGGCAAATTATTTCTTCATAACTACCATAAAATATGAGAATAAAATTAATTAATCAAATGATTTTGAACATTTCAAAACATACAAGAAAAACAGAAGAAGTTAAGTAAATATAACAATTTATTTGCTGAAAGATTATTAAATAAATAACTTAGCACTTATCAAATAATATCCGCAATAGTTACTGAAAATAACAGTAATAAATGTTATGAGAATACTTTTATCACTAATCTTACCGTATGATCCACTTCCAACTTGATTCCATTTATGTTTTTGGTTCATTTCATGTATTTCAGCAGCCACTTCTGCAGCATCGACATTAAATGCACCAACTGGAATATCTGGGCTTAAATGTTTGACCTCCATATTTGCCAATTTTCCATTTTCAAAGTCATTTACTTTGTAGTTCACAACCAACTATAACATAAATAAAATATATCAAGCAAAAAACTGCGACAAGAATGGCATTTTTCAAACGCAAATTGACAACTTGCAACTGCTTTTCAACTTCCATTTTTTTAGTCAAAAAAAATTAATCGTATTATTTAAGTTTTTACTTCTTATTTTACATAATACTTATGCCAACATTAGCAAAATTTAGCAAATATAAAACATACTCTAAGACTATCGGTTTTCACACTGCTATAATATCTTAACATAAAATGAAATACAGCTAGTTCATCAAAGAATCCAGCAGGATTTTGGCATTCCATACAGATAATCTTTGGGGGAAACTGCTGCTTCGGAAAAAGTGGATCTTCAGTTCCTGTCTTAGCAATAAACTTGTTTACAATATTATGTGTCATCCAGAACCACATTACACCATCTTCTGAAAAGACATACTACATTTAATTTATGATAAAAATGATCAGTGCATCATAATTCATATATGAAAAAAAATACCAAAAATTATTTAATATTCTGATTTATAGTTTGAAAAAACCACAGAAAAAAATGCAGACACACAGTTTCACCTAAAATGATGCAGACACCACAGTTTATAGAGCAATTAATTACACTTCTCAGTAGAAAAAAATGAAACTAAAATACTTCATTCATGACCACACACAAATTAATACTTTCACGTGAGCATGGCGACTTGACTTTTATTTGAAATAAAATTTTTCCGCAAGTCTTTCTTATAATCGAACATATTTATGCTTATATAAATAAGCAAACAAGTAATAATAATAATAAATTTACTTGGAGTGATAACAACTGACATATTCCTCTTCAAAACCCCTTCATGAAAATGTCTGGCACATTCCGCGCAACTGAAGAAACGCCATATGAATTGATGAAATGGCTCGATAAGATCTGTGTTGGCATTAAACAGTGCATCTATAATGGAAAAACTTTAGAACTTCCAATAATTTCTAGTAAAAAAAAACTTAAAATTAGCAAACTTACTATTAATTATCTAATATTGTTACTTTACAATACTATACTAAAAGAATAGTAGGGAGTTAGCAACATATGAAAGTTAAAAGATGCTAGAAAGAAATCAGATAGCTTCAGATAGCCTTGAAGATTAATTATTCTTAGCAGTATAAATATTCAGCTACATTAAATGTACTCAAACGAAATTCGAAAACAAAATAAATTAAATATTGGATACTTAAGGACTGTAAATAAAAAATGTACAAAGAAGCACATAATAACATTTATATTTGCTTCCTGCGTTTAAATTTAAATGAGCTATAAATATGACATTTATGACCGATAGAAGAAGATGCTCATTATTACCAAATGTAAATTTATAGAAAATCTGATTCTAATCTTTTCCTTAGTATAACTATATAAGTAAGTACTCATCGTAAATACAGTCAAAAACGAATCTCATATTTTAAAAGTGTTCATACTATTATGAATATAATAACTCACTATCTTTCTCAATTGCATAAGCTTGAACACTCATTGCATGTATTATAGTCCATATTCCACATGAAAATCCTCGAAAATGCTTGGCTGATCCTCGACAAGCCAAATAACTTGTATTACTTGGTAAAGGTTGACCAAGCTGGCCCTGGAGTAGCCAAAACAAAAAGTTTTTCTCCAACATTAAAAAAAATGAACATTAAAGAAAAGCAAAATAGTAATCAAACATGACCACTAAATACAGAAAAATTGACAGTTAAGAAAAATATCCATGACTGAGAACGGCTTTTTGATCTTTACCGAAAAGATTATTTAGTTTATTAAAAAAGTGACCAGTATATGGAGCAAATTTATTAACATTAGGCAATCATCATAACATATTCAAAACTAAAATTAACTAATCTCGCAAACATCATTTTAAATTCGAATATGGCAACGGATTCTTTCTAGAACGTTTAGAAAGACATATAAAATTTACGACAACAGCTAGTATAACTAATCGAATTAGAAACTGAATACCTGAAGATCGTTTATTTTCTGCAGCCATTGCTCAGCAGTAACTTCATTTGATATTTTGTTAATCCAGCTGTTCAACCGAAACAATAGTCTGCGCATCCCAATTGTTCCTGGCAAATACTGAAATATCAATCATACGCATAATTCCTATACTTTAAACAAAGAAAAAAATTTGCAAATAAAATATTTTTAATATCGCATATATGACAATAATTACAATTATAAATAATGTACTGTTTTTTTTTTAAATATCAATAGTTCCATCGCATAAATGAAAGCCATACTTTTTTCATCGTATAAATCCAACTTTTCAAAGCCACAAGATTTTCATTGTCAATTATAGCCTTTCTCGGGATTTCAATCATTAGCATATGTCGAAGCGCAGTCATTATATCCATTAATTGTACCTAACAGACAAAATAGCATTGTGCAAAACACATATAGAAAACACAAATTCCCTTAGCTTTTGGACATCCACTGAAATATAAGGCTTTTATCATAGAAAATAAGCAGAACAATAAACTGACCTCAAACTGATTCCAAATAACATCAACTCTGCTTTTTGCTGTAGTCTCTTCAGCATTTTCCAAATCCTGGAAAAAGACAAGCATATTTTGATTTGAAACTTCCATATCTGTAAAACTCGTTTTTTTCTAAACTACTTTGTTTAAAAACAAAAAAAAGTGGTCACACAGCATCTCTTCGTCCTTTTAAATTAGATTAAGAACCGCAAACGTTCTCAAAATTTTTCAATTACTGACAAAATTTATGAGCAATAGTTCATAAATTTTACCAAATTTTCTCGGTGCAACGCTGATAAGACAGTTTTTTAAGTGTCTTTTTTCAGTAAAAATCTAGCTACTATCTCCCTTATTTTTGCGAAGCCTACAGTAAAATAACATACGTTACAATTCATATCAGTCAAATAAATGTCACAAAAAATTTAAATCCAATGCACTTTCATAAAATTTACAGGAAAGTAATTACATCACAAAAAGTCATTTACAAGTTTCTGAATTCCGCTGAACTTTGAACTTGAAAAACTTATCCCCACAGCCATAAATTTATGATTTTCGAAAAAATTTAGATTGAAAATGATGTCCTGAAAGAATATACAAAACTTTCTGTAAGTAAATTATATACCGTTTTAAATGCAGAATATGAAGTCAATTGTTGACTAATTCGTTCGCTTATATCATTCACACGCTGGTCTTCTCTGAAGTCAAAAAATAACTTATTCATATCTAAACTTAGTTATATAATTAATACGTAATCCACCGGCTTAGTTATTAACAAGTCAAAAATTTAATCGATTTTCAACTCTATCTCTTATTTCACCTCAATTTTCATTATTTACTTTCATCACAAATACAGCTCAAACATTAAAATGTCTCGTATAAGAACAATAAACTCGCCTTGATATATATACTGGCACATGTTCGCCCCTTTTAAATAATACCACTCTCGGATAATTTGTGTTCTTATTCATACCAAGTTCAAAAGCAAGCGAACTGTTTCTATTTATCCGTGCCACATGAATTTCCTTAGTGTCAGCAAATGCTATTGTTATCTGTGATTAAAAACAATTAACACAAAAAAAAGAAAAATAATTCAGTATAAAAAATTTTCAAATAATTTACTGTCATTACTTATTCATTTTTCGCACGCATAATATATTTTATTTCGTCCCTTTCTTTTCAAATTTGATTAAAAACACTTGTTTTCATTACAATCATGCGTATGAAAAACACGCATAAAATCAAGTAAATTTCATTTCAACCATGCAAATAAATAATCAGATTAAATGTTTGCAAAATATTTATCAGTAAATATAATCATAAAAATTCTGATACATTAACAGTATACAAAAATAACGTACTGCCCAAGATGTTCTAGCAGGTTCATTTTCAACAGCTAATAATAAGTGCGTGACTGAAATCGGCAACGACAGCCAAATTTCTTCAAATTGTATATTGCTAAAAAAGTTAAACATTAGCGTCCAATAATTAAAGTTCACTGTGGAGTTTATAAATATGCACTTTAGTTTCATACAAATTATTAACTTTAATTTTTATACTAACAAAAATATTACTGAAAAAAAACGGAACCAAACAACAGGTATAAAATGTTAACCTCTTATCAGAAGTAAAATATATACTTTCTCTACACAACACAATCAATCCCAAGAACATTAGCTCTTTTAATACAACTTCTTCACTAAGCTAATCACCCGAGATTAGTTGATGAGAAGTTTCAACGAGAGATTTTTCTTTAAATTAAATTACATTTTAATTAAGTTCTTGCAACAAACTGCTATCAAGACTCCAAAATTTATCATAATCAGCAAATGTTGATCACATACAGCATTGGAATTAGTCAAATATCGAGGAAAAGAACTCAAATTTTTAGTTTCATTAAAAACAAAAAAGGGTCAAACGTACTGGTTAACAGGGTCGAAAGTTGGCCAATTCTCTGGCCTCTGATTGCTCCAGTCATTCTTTACAAATTCCGCAATTTCTAGTGGTAATTTGTTTAAATCATACTTGTCGCCAACGAATAGAACAGCGTCTTTGGCATTTTTCGATGAATATTTAAAATACTAAATATCACGATTTTCAAACAAATATATTGTACTTTAATACGTCTATGTCAACGTTATTTACACATATTATACATTATTTTAATTTATATCTTTAGGGTTACTCAGCATAATGCATAATACTAGTAATTAACTGTTATATAAATTTTAACTTAGTACATAAAATAGCAAAAAACGAGAATAAAGTTAGTGTTAAAAATACTATCAAAGTAAATAAACAAAATTTCCAAAGCCTATGAAATAACACTAGCAACAAAAAAATCCTTTACTCTGAGAGAAGGGAAAGAATCAACTTGGTGCTCACGACATAAATTTAAATTTTTTTCGTCCGCGCAATCCACGGCAGCAATTTGCACAATCGAACTCCATGACTTCAGCTCACTGCAAAAATTACATACGGTCATAACGTTATGATTTTTTCAAATTATTTACACATCAAAGTTTATTTTTTAAGTAATATACCTAGTAAAAGCTACTATTAATTTATGATGTTATATGAACTTTATCTAATACTCACACCGCTCTTCTGGTCAGTACCAATTTTAGTTTCATTTCTTTACGAGACTTTCAAATAAGTAATGCTTTTCTTTTTAAACTACCAATCTCAAGTGCTGGATTCGAATTAATTATAATTCAAATGAATTGCAAGTTCAATCAAGAACTTCAGTTATGATACAATCTTCTTAATTCTCTTTTGAACTACCATTTGCATAGCAATTTTTAACGAGCCAACTAAGTGAAGAACATTTTTTTAGCTATTCGATGCAAGCAACTAAAATTTATTTCTGTTGTTTTTTTTGGACTACAGCGGATTCAGTCTTGCCATGTCTAGTTTTTGTTAATTTAATTAATTTTTACAATATATTCCAAATATATATCAAATAATAATAAGTAATAAGACAAATAGCTACTGAGAAATAACAAAGAGAAAACAATTTATTACTTTGCAAGTTTCTTGTACGTTGGAGCATAACTAACACAAGCACCACACCAGCTTGAGAAAAATTCTATGAAAAAAGCACGTCTCTAAAAAGCATAAAAGTTACTGTAATTATTCGAAAAGGATAAAAATCCTACAAATGGACTAGTAACCAATTAACTGTACAAAATGCAAGCTTATATTATGGATGATTGAAAATTTATTAAGTCGACAAAGACTAAGCGCGTAGTATAGTAATATTAGTAATTTCAGAAAGGCATGCTTGAATTAGAGCATGAATAATTGTTTAAATTTTCGAATTCTACGAATTTTATGATACACAAAAACATTATGTACATTTTGTTACAGTTCTAAATGATAAGAATCTTTATTTTTTATTTGCATAAGCGATTTTCTTGTTCTCATCTTTACTACCCCACAATTAATGAAAATGCTTAATCTCAGAATGTTTGAAAAAAAACATACCAGAAAATGCTTAGTTTTTTCTTTCTTAAACGCAATAAATAGGTAAATTAATCTATTATCACTATTAATAGTTCAAATTAAAGTCATATTTGAGTAAAAAATATATTTGTTTACACAGAAAAAAAAAACCTATTTATTTATAATTAAATTATTTAAGCAAAATAGCAAATTTACCTGATTATAAACTTCTTGCCCA